GTTTTCTCCCCTTTTTTAGAACATATATCATATTCTTTGTAAATAAATAATATCGGACAGATCCTACGTCAGGTATTCTCCGATACCTAACTCGAGTTCTCCTTATGTTAATTCCTCTAGGCAATCTCAAATCGAGATCTTAATTTAGCTACTAAACAGGTTTAATGGATAGCAAAATCCATTTTGATTACTTATTGTAATCTCATCTTGATATCTCATCAAGGTGATCAGATTATGTACACAATTTGACCACTTTGTATCATCTCAGCACACCTCAAAGTGTCTAAGGCGATTGTTCGTGTGAGAGAACCAATCTCAATCTATTCGACATACTTTATACGTGCATGCAAATCATTATCTCGTAATCTCAACATTAAATAACACATGAACTCAAACTCGTTCATCTCGGGTGTCATATTTTGGCCTAGTTTATCGTACCTCTAGCCCCTATGTTAGGCGGTACGCAAAACTCAATCAAGAGCTTTCTAATATACTAAGTATCGTATTTTATGCAATTCTAGATATTCGATATTACCAACAAGTATATCTTTAAACATCTTCAAAGTATTAGAATTTTAAATTATTCAACAAGCCTTGATAATACATACAATTAGATAACGATTATCAATTACATCTCCATGTAACTCCTAAATCATGAAGTAGTTATTCTCCTTGTCACACAAATCTTATACATTTACTTGATCGTACTCCCAAATTACCATTTTCTTAAGTTACTCAACAAAAAACAGAATTTTTGTTAAATTCGACATATTGTTCAAATACATCAAATATTCCATATTGATAAACAGAACCATAATCAAAATAGTCTTGAGTTGTTCAACAAACTAACATCGATGAGAGGCTCTGATTTTTCACTATAACGATAGAAAGCACGGTATATAATAATGCATATATAAACTTAATATTTCAAACGAGGGATTTGATTTCATCATAATCATGTATATGATATTCTACATATTCCATGCAAATAAAAATATATATAATTAATCTATGCATATTTATGGAATAATGTTATCTAGCCTTCTTGAGCCAAAAGAAAGCCTTGTTGGCCGTTATCAGAGGATGTTGTATTAAATTACCGATTGCTTCAATACAATAATCTCCATCTCATGTTATAACATGTATTTCTATATTAGTTATCTTCTTGTAGTCACTGGAACTTGTATTTGATACTGTATGTCTTTGTCTATCGACTATTAACACGTATCTTATATTAGTTGAAACAAATGCTTAAATAAATGGACACACACCTAAAATTACAATGTTAGTTCGCATGGAGAGAACAAGAATGTCAAATATTACGACAACGGGCTCTCATAATAGAATGGACGTGAAATTCCAATCATTACAGCACTAATAAATAGGCCAACCATCCAAACAAATCACACAGGTGAGTCTATAATCATTCAATAGACTAATGTCCTGCACTTCTATATATAATCATTCAATAGACTAATGTCATGCACTTCTATAGATTTGATCTAAATTAAATCACTCTAATCCAATTCAAATTTGTAGCACGGACCCAAAAAAATGTGTAAACTATTTAGACAAAATTGAAATAATAAACTTTTGTCAAATCTCTCGATTATTCTGATTAGTTAACATATTTCATTAATAAGTCCAAATATAAATCAAATAATAATTTATAATTTTAAACTAGAGTCGAACTATGATTTCATTTTCGAGGGTCAAGAATCTTAATTTTTAATTTGAGACAAAAATTGGATCACGTACCTAATTTAGAATCAAACCCTAAAATTGGTCAAAATCCCAAATTAGGTCAAAATTTAGATTATGTCAAAATTCTCAATTTTGATCAAAATCCAAATTTAATCGCAAAACAAGTGTAGATCAAGATTCTCCAATCTTGGTCAAGATTCAACTTAAGTCATAGTTTCCTAATTATCATAAATACAGAATCTAGGTCAAAATTATCAATTTTATTCAAAATTAAATTGACGAGATTCCAAAGTTTTGGTCAAAGTTGAGCTTGGATCAAAATTCAAGATTTTGGTTAAAATTCAGTTAAATTTTAAATCATAATTCTCTAAATTTAGTCATATAGTCAATTTTAAGTTAAAATCCCAATTTAGTCAAAATTGTAATAAGTCAAAATTTCAATTTCAAATAAAATTCAATTTTATTCTAAATTGATCAAATCCAAACAAATATGGTCCAAGTCAAATTTGGTCCACTCCCCAATTCTGCTCAAAACATTGTATCAGTCAAAATTCACAAAATTGGGTGAAAAACAATTTTAAAACCGTCCTTGAAATTTAGGGGAAAACCAAAATTTGCACATTTAAGGTCAAATCCTAAATAAGTTTAAATTCAATTTAGGTCAAAGTCCACAATTTTAAGGTCAAACCCTAAATTTTTGCCAAATTATCGAAATTGGTCAAAATTAAATTGACTCTAATTTTGAACGATCACAAATTTCAAACAAGAACTTTAATCTTTATAATTTGCATATAGAACCTTAAAACTATATAAAACAAGAGCGACGTAATCGGCATTGCACTCAGCAGCAATTTCCAGCTATGAAGCCTTAGCTTCACACTACGACGAGATTTGGCATCCATAACTACCATTAGAAACAATATCGATTTTCAGCCTCATTGCTAGCGGTGCACATGATGCTGGGATTCTGCATTGCGATGAACCCCTTTTATATAATTAATTTTCAATTTTCGAATCAATTACTGGATAATTTTTTTTATACCAATTCAAAACTACAAACAATTAGTCTAAATAATCTATATTTATATTAAAATATCACACCAAGTGAAAATCATTTTTGGACGATTTTAACCCGGTATCACATCAAGGTAAAATCATTTTTGGACGATTTTAACCCCTTACAATTCAATTATTTCAATCATATCTTACTTTTCATTTTTTGATATGTAATAAACACTAAAAAATATATCACTTTAAGGGAGAATCATTTTTTGGACGATTTCAACCCACTTACAATTCAATTATTTCAATAATACCTTACTTTTCGTTTTTCGATATATAATAAATACTACAAAATTATTGTCATTTATGAAATTTGTGTTATTAATTCTCGATTAATTAACATTCACATTAATCTGAATTCAATGAATTTTCATTTGATGAATCTTGAATTACATGAATCAAGAGCTATTATAGATAAGTTTATTCATATTCATGTATGTGAAAATTTTAATATGTGTTTAAATTTATGTATTAACAATTAATTTTTATGTATCAAATGTAATATAAAAAGATTACTCATTTATAGTATTTCATCATTATAAAAAAATTGAATAATAGAAGTTGAGTTTTAAAAGTACAATTTTCTTCTCTTAAATTTCTATGCTAAATTTTTTTATTCGTTCGAGACTCGTCAAATCCTCCAACAAATTGATATCAAATATTACTTTTACATCACTTATAAAATATTTTAGAATAAAGTACAATACATATTCAACTTTGACAAGTTTTAGTTAAATATTCTCATGTCAAAAGGTGCAACAAATCCTAACAAACAATAAAATCGGCTCTGATACTACCGTTGGATATATACTTAAACATGCACAACAAAAATTAAACAAGTTTTGATTTTCAAAAGCTAGATTATCTTTGTATTTTGACTGAATATGTGATAAGATGTATATTTTTTTTTTCTGATTTTTAAGTTGTGAAATTACGAGTCTGATCTACTACGATCTCAACGGAACATAACTATTTAAGTGCACAACCTCTAATAGAAATACACGGAACGAGAACAAATCGGTAATCGGAATTTAAACCAACAACTTGGAGGCCAGGCAATGACGATGATATTTAGGAGATTAGGTTCAAAGTTTTCATCTATCTTTTATGCTAACAAGAATGTGATAACAAATTCACATAAACTCAGACTATACATATTTATATAGGATTTCACTAACCCTAATGAGCATAATAGATAATTAATCTAATTAATTAATTAACCTTAAATCATAATAATATGTCTACATAACTATTGAGCCTAAGACAACATGCATATATGTGCGTGTGTATATATACAAAAATGACCTGCTAAGTATTTGGCGACATGGAACATTAATTAATTGGTAAGTTCATGCTATATCTCAAGAATTAAATGCATGATTCACCAATCAATTGATATATCATACATTGTTTCAAAGCATAAGTTAAATAACGATACTTAGTATTCTCTCTTTACAAATATCTATTAGTAAATCAAACCCAAATTTTGCTCAAAGTTCCGACATTATCCTCAACCTGAAGATGATTTATATCAATTTTTGTTGGTATTATACTTTTAACTTTTTTAGTGAAGGTTAACATTATTAAGCCACTTAAATATTAGATTTAATAAAGAAAAGGGTCATATTTTACTCAACAACAATTAAAATAAACAACAAATGGAGAAAAAGAAAGACTCATCTTCCTTAGTCACTACCGTCACCCATCTCCCCTCATGTCCTCTCCACGTCATTTAATCAGGTGAGGTTTTTTAAACAAGCTCGGCCCTAAGATTTTGGGGGCCTTAGACTAATTTTAAATATGGAACACTATATATATGTAAAAATACATGAAAAATAAAAAACAAATAATCTTTTTGGGCCCTCACCAAGGTGGAACCTTAGACGATTGCCTACCTCGTTTATAGTCAGGGCCAACACTGTTTTGAAATAGTTGTTTATTTATTTATTTATTAGTAGTGATGTGACATTTGACCCTTTTGGAAAAATGCCTAATTAACAAACAATTTGAATTGAAACCATCATTGGCGATTAACTATGTTAATTTATGAAAGGTTAGAAACAAAAATACGATCATATAAATGATTGGAGAAAAGATTAATATTTGAGCAATGGTTGGGAATAAATATGCAATTTACCCTATATGTGGGTATAGAGTTGATATATTGCGTATGGATGGATGCATGTACGTTGTACATGGACATACACATATGAACTGAAACTGAATTAATTGATTTTACAGGGTGTTTTGATAGATGATGAAGTGGCATGCATCTCAATCCTTGAATGGTTGGAATCAAGGGTTAAGGTGCATGCCACCTCAACATATGCTGTACAACTGTACAAGTCCACTCCTTGGAACTTCGCCATTTCGCAACCATTTCCATTATTTCACTTCATTTAAGCCCGTCTCCTCACCATCTTCCTTGTTCACACACACACACACACACAGATATAGAGAGAGATGGAAACGGCGTCGTTCCTTGACCCTCCCAATTCCCCTCCAAATGTATCTTTTGCACTAAGAGGACCTCGCACCAACAATTTCCTTCGCAGCGTCTCCACCAAAGAGTCACCGCTCACGGAGGCTCCATGTTCGCCGCCCCACCTCAGCACCGCCACTTCCCTCTCCATCAACCTCCACAGTCACTCCCACTCTCAGCCTTCAACTCCCCACCTTTCCTTTACACCCTCTAATAAACTGGATGATCTACACACCACCTACAGTTGCATTTGTTCAGTCCTGAAAAAAGACGGCCAGATCCTCTCTGTCGCCACCTCCGGCGGCCTCGTTTACACCGGCTCACAAGGCAACACCATTCGCATATGGAAGATGCCGGAGTTCACAGAATGTGGGCAGCTCAAAACGAAGGCATGCATGGTGGTTGCATTGGAAGTGTCAAATGATAGAATCTATGCATCATATTCCGATTGCAAAATTAGGGTTTGGAGGAGAACTTGGGAAGGAGTCATTAAGCATATAAGACTTGCCACCATACCAAATACCGGAAGTTATGTCCGGAGCTACATTGCTGGCAAGGATAAGATGGTAATTTTAAGTGTTCATATACGTTTTGGCTTAAAAATTAGTTTATAGAAAAGTATGTTTTTTAAGCAAGAAGAAGTAATTTTAAGAATCATGTATAATTAGTAACTTAAAAGTTAACAGTAACTATAATTTAATTTTAAGCTGGCACAGCTAGGCATTAATAAGTTTGTGTTTTATGAATTACTTAATTATCAGGGCTCTGTATAGGGATGGATGCATTTGTACAGTCCGAACTTAACAACTCGGTTGACACTCTCCTCACAAGGGTGAGGGACTTGCGCCCAATAAAATAATGTGTGGATCCTCCGATGTGAGTATAATGTACACCGAGCTGTCAAGCTCGATGTACTTATAGCATGATTCTCTGTATAGATAATCTATTGACTCCATTAGTTTGAATTTTTGAAATTCAAATCAATAAGAGTAGAATAATTTTAAGCACCCGTTTGATAGCAATTTTTTGACCGTTTCAATATTTTAGCCGTCATCTTTTACTTCTTAACTCTCAGGTGGAACCCACTTTTCTCTTTAACGGTCAAAAAATAATTCTCATAATCATTACCGACAAGCCCTAATTATTATTCTACAATTGTCTAGACTTGTACATCCGAAAGATAGTGACAATGTGAATGATAAAAGGTACATTTTACCTCACAATAAATATGAAGATCAATAAATATCATTAACAGCTATATTATTATAGGCCGTTGTCATTGTGAAAAGTAATTTAGTGTTGTCTGCAATTTTTATTATATATAATAAAGGTGTATTTCAAGATGTGAAGTGAAATCGAAGAATTGTCCTAATAAGAGGACCTCTTAATTATTATTTTTATTGTATATTGAAAAATTGATAAGAATTAATGGTGTTAGTTAAGGTGTTTGTTATTGAGTTTTTTCTTATCAAAAAATTCACCTAGTAAAGATTGTATGAGCCAATATAAGTAAACACTATTGAGTTAGCTTGTAGAGGGTTTTATGGGTATATTGAGGAGCATGACACGTATAAATGGGAGGAAACAAATTAAAGTATATTTCTAGTGTCCTTTTTTAAACATCGTCTCTCTCTTTTTAAATCATGCATGTAGACTTTTATAATTGTCTTGGATACATTTTTTTTTTTTAAAATATTCTTACCATTATTTTGACAAGGGTACATTTTTTTGACATAACAATTTCAAGTGGATGAATAAAAAATCTTGACAAATTAAGTTCATTTTTCTATATGATAGATAATCCCATCTATTATCTGTATTATCTATAATATTTTATTGAAGTTGAACCTAAACACCATTTAGGTTAGGATTCATTGTATCTATCTCTTCTTCGATATCGATTTATTTCTAACCTGTTATTTTCCTTTTTGTTTAATACCTTTTCACAGAGGAATTTTGCCTATTTTTTCGTATCTAGGATTTATATATACAACATACATCATATATTGTCAAGGAGTTTGTTATTAGTTAGGTAGGTTAGGTATTTTGATTCCCAAAAAGGGTAGGAAAATGAAACTTCGTTATATCGAAATATATATTATTTTTACTCTAAATTCTTTCTTCCTTTCCATTTCAAGAGGGAAAATTTATGGGTTGTCATCAAATATTTATTAGCAGCATGAACAGGGCAAAGTGTTAGTTGAGCTCATCTAGCTTTTATTTATGGATTCTGATCATTCTGTCTATTGCCATTAATTTTCAAATTTAAAGAAAATTGCACTAAATAACTGAATTTAAAGCACGATTCAGCAACTATATAGACTGTATTCATGCAACTTACCAACCTCATTGAAATACTAGCTAGAGTCTGCTCAATAATATGCAATTATAAATGAATTTATAAATAAGGATTGCCAACTTGCTTCCAGTTGAAATTTAATGCTGTATGCCCTTGTTAAACAACACGCATTGATTAGGGTTAATTGATTTGTGCATGTACTTGAACGTTTGAGTTAACAGACGAGGCACTTTGGACCAATATCATCACTAGCAATCAACATATCAGATGACATTTTGTACTCGGCTTCCCTTGACAAGACCGTGAAAGTTTGGCGAATTTCTGATTTCAAATGCATAGAGACAATCCAGGCTCATCCCGAGCCCGTGAATGCAATTGTGGTGGCTGATGATGGGGTATTATATACTGCATCGGATGATGCCACTGTGAAAGTGTGGAGGCGCAACTTTTGTAGTGGGTCTCGCCCTCATTCGCTCGCGGTGACCCTACCGGCCAAATACTCCCCGGTCAAAACTTTGGCCTTAACCCTTGATGGCGGGGTGTTGTACGGTGGTTGCACGGATGGTTATATACATTATTGGCTAAAGGGTTGGTTCTCTAGCCAATTGCAATATGGTGGTGCACTCCCGGGGCACACTCACGCAGTGATGTCCTTAGCCAGTGTGGCAAATTACGTGGTGAGTGGATCTGCTGATTCAACTTGTCGAATTTGGATAAAAGAGCAGGATGGTCAACACACTTGTATTGCTATGCTCCAAGGGCACAGAGGACCTATTAGGTGCGTTGCTGCTTTCCCTATACAAGGTTCTGAGGAGAGCAATGAGAAGGGTTGTATGGTTTGCAGTGGAAGTCTTGACGGAGTCCTTAAAGTGTGGAGAGTGAGAAACACAAGGCAAAATCGAGATTCATCCCAAAATGCTCGTGAATATTTTGAGCTAGCTTGAATTAGTTGTACCTTAGTTTTCCTCGAGCAATGGGGGAAGGGAGCTTGTTGAAACTAGAGAGCTATGTTGCTTAATTGTACAATGGATTTCTGAACTATAAATGAAGCACTATTGTCTCGATTATTTACTGTAATGTATATTTTCTTTAATTTTGTGTGACAAACATATACTGTAGGTACGTGGTTATGTTTTTAAACCCAGCAATTAATTATTAGATCGTCCTCAATGCCTAACATGAATCTTTTGATTGGCTTTATTTTAACATCGTAACTTCAATGGTTTGAAACCTCCACGCATTTTATTAGTTCTTTCAATTATAAAGAATCTACAAAAATTAATTCTGTTACCCTCAATTTTTATACGTAGGCATCACTCGCACACTGAAACACCTCGTTAGAAGGCAAAGATCGTTGATCAAGAAAAAGATTCGATGAGTGTTTGCATTTTGACTGTCAAATTAGCAGTTAGATGAAAGATAAATTGGGTTATAAAAAATGGGATAAGGAAATTTGGATAGGGTTAACTTGGTTGTGAATGGACTCACACATATAGGAAAATGCAAACAAGCCAACTGGGTTAATGGACTGAGCCCAAGCCCAATATGAGGTTACATAATTCAATAAGTCCAATCCAATTGAATAATCAATGTCAAGTCAATCAATATAGGACCCCTCTATGACGCGCATGCCATGTAATTTGTAGATACAACAATAGTTACCCAAGTTTGAGTCGTATATTTGCATGTGAGTCAAACTTGAAGTATAAATTGTCAAGCATGCGAGGTCTTAAAGGTTGTCTCAAAAATATAAGTAGCTCCAATAAGTGAAGACGTACGAACTATCTCAAAAATATGCATCGATCCCAAATAGGTGAGGATTTACGAATTGTCAAAAAGATATAAGCTGCTATGGTTTATCGAAATTTCAATAGCATTTCTTTTGTAATATAAATTAAACCAATCTAAAATATACAATGTATCAACTGCATATATACAAAATAAATTGAGGACCCTTTGACCCCTCCAAATACTAACGACGATAGTGTCAATAATATCAAGTCAAACTTTTTTAATATAGAATATGCAGAGAGCCTATTATATGTTTGCACAACTTAGTGTAATAGTGCTATAATGAAGCAAGCAACATGATGTCGATAATAAAATGATAATGTATAAAACGTGGCATGCGTACTAATAGTAATAAAATTAGTGTTATGACATGCTAGCAAAGATGTGTCATGCGTACTTGACAACAATAATATATGTGTGTGTGTGTGTGTGTAGTAATAATATAATGATACTGAGATACTAATATCACAATAGTCTCCTAAGTTCATATATAGATGTTCATATAATGCGTGCACTTTTGGATATAGACAAGGTTCTGAATATAAGTAACTGTGATGAAGTTGATGCAGAGGCGAAGCTCTGAATTGAATATAAGCAATTGTAATGTAGCTAATGCTGAACTAAATATAAGTGGCTGTGATAAAGTCGATGCAGAAGTGATTCTTTGAATATACAAATATTTATGATAAGTTGATACAAAGGTGATGTTGTGAATGTAGCAACTGTGACAAACTAATGCAAAGACAATGCTCTAAATATAAGTAGTGTGATAAGCTGAAGCAGATGCAATGCTCTGGATATAAACAGTTGTAATAAGCTAAGCTATAGGGGAGACTCTAAATATAAACAATTGTAATGAAATTAATGTAAAGGCGAAACTATAAATATAAGCAGTTGCGATAAGATGATGTAGAGACTATGCTCTAAATATAAACAACTGCGATAAGATGATATAGAGGATAGATGTATAAAATGATGCAGAGGCAATGCTCTAAGCATAAGCAGTTGTAATAAGTTGAGGCAGAGGCTATATTTTGAACTGAATATAAATAGATATATCGATATTAATGCAGGTTAAACTTTGAATATGTAAACAACTGTACTGATACTAATGCAAATGCAGACTTTGAACTAAATATAAATAGCTGTATTGATACTGATGCATAGGTAGATCTATATATTGAAATTTTTTAGCCAACAAAATCTCGACAACCTTCCCTTCACATAGGCATCACCTGCACACTAGAATATCGAGTTTGAAGGTAAAGGTCGTCGATTGAAAAAAAAGTCCGATGATCGTTTGCACTTCAACTATCAAATCAATAGTTGGACAATAGATACATATGAGTGCAAGAGACGGGATAAAGAAATTTAGTTAAGATTAAATAAAACATCTACCTTGGTTGTAAATGGATTCACACATATATAGGAAAATGCACATAAGATAAGTGGGATAATGAACCGAGCTCAAGCCCAACCCCAATATGAGGTTGCAGAATTCAATAAGTCCAATCTAATTGAATAATCGTTGTCGAGTCGGCCAAAGTAGGGCCCCCTTCTTAACACTCATGCCATGTAATTTGTGGATATAACAAATTCTAAAGAACAAACAATCATCAACTTTGCCTTTTATATCCAATATACATTTAGTTTACATTACAAGACGGGATTTTATAGTCCAGCCACCATACATTATATCACTTGGTAGTTTGTATTTAATAAAAGTTATATAATTGTTGTATATACTTTTAACACAAAATTTTGACTTTTTAATAGTCATGTGTACAGTCTCCAATATTTATTTTGACAGGAGCATTAGTAAACTAAAAAGCTACAGAATCATACGCCACAAAATAAAGTTTAAAGACCTACTTGCTCAACTTTTTATAGATTAGAGACCCAAGCCATAATTTTTCCTTACATTATTAATGTTATTTTGAATCTAAAATGATCCATTTTCAATGAAGTTGATTAAATGCTACACAAGTCCTACATGAGTAATAATATTTAGTATTAGCATCATTTTAGGTTACAGTAATAACTCATATAAACTTTTCAAGTACGATTAAGTTAAATTTCAATTCATTGAACAAGTCTAGATGAGCCCCACTGCCACTTAGAGTGTCATTGAATAGCATCAATACTAGATAGGTTAATAACATCATCAGCACCACAGAACGATTGCCCTCTTGATAAAATTTCAAAGCACACATACAAACTATCCAAGATATCATGAACTAAACTCTCTCTCTTCTGGCGACCCGATGCACAAACACGCACATGAATCAAGCTAAGGAATTCATAGAAAATAATCGAAATAGTTTTTCACCTCTGAAATGGATTAAGACCTACATAGACAAAAATTCAGAGTTTAGAAACATATCAAAGACTCAAGCCAGACAAAGAACTTTCCACAACCAATCCACATTGTGCCAGAATGCTACACAGTGCGCTTCCGAACATCGAAAATGAATTCGGACTATTATGTGGACCTATGCTATTAAGAAAGACAACAACAAAAGAAATATAGCTCACCACTGTTAAAAATAACCAACAGAATGAAGAACTCTAAACTCAATGCAACATATCAAATTACCAATAATATCATGCCTACCTTCAGCACAGACGTCCAGGACATCTATGATAGAATGATCATATCGACTACTGTCGAGTAACTTACAAAGAAACCAACATCATCGGCCTGTCATAAATAAAAACTCCAGCTCTCAAATAGAATGCATTACTAGCTCCATATCATGTATCTCCCAACAATGTTTGTTTCTCCTCCAAGTATAAACCAATTCTTATGATAATACACTTTATTTTAATCCTTCCCCCTCCATCTAAAAAAAGTATGTACCTTTCACAATTTTCCTAGAAAAAAACCTATTTAATCATAGCCTTGCATGCACAAAAGTGCATAAATCAAATGTATGAAGTTCGCATGAAACCCGCAAGCGTACGTGATCGTTGACAAGTAATAGATTTAGTAAGTTAGAGTATCATCCCACAAGGTATAAAATTTAATTGAGTGTACTAGTCCTTAATTAGATTCAAAGCGAACAAATTAAAAGTGATTTTTGTGATTTTTAAGTATTATAATTTAATCTATGAAAACGTATAAAGTGCGAATTTAAAATGTATATGGGAAGAGTGTATTGGATTACGAATCCACTTATTATTATTTATTCCAATTCTTGATTACGTAGCTAATTTCATTCTTGCATTCTTGACAATCGATAATTCTATTGTAATTAATCTTCTTTTCCAAGACAAATTAAATCTATCATATTCACGACCCAATCCTATTCCTAGTCCGAATTCATATGAGTAAAACGTATTCAATTTCACAATTATCTCAAAGATCACACACGTGATAAATCTTATTCCTAAAATTTATTGCACGTTTATTAATCATGCAGTGTTCTAAACTTATTGTGAACATTCCAACATTACAACAAGCAACCATATATTTAATTGGTGATCAAGCAATCAAATAATTAAATTAAGTATGCAAGATTAATCAAGAAATTGCAAGAATTTAACTAAGTTACGTGTCTTGAATTAAAAATAAATAATAACGGGTTTCATCTTCATCCAATACATGAGAAATATTAGCCTAGCATAATGTTGAAATTAAATAAAGAAAGTTTAGAAAACATCACCGAGAAATTGACGAAACATGATTAATATATATTATCAAAATTGCAATCGCCATTGTCGATGTATATCTCCAAGCTGCCGCCCACTTTTTAGTTCCAAAATGGTTCCAAATTCAGCCCCTGAAAGCATCAATGTTTTGCCCCAAAGTGGAGTCCAAATTTCTGACCAGCTAGTGGAAAGAAATTGAAGAGATACACATACAATTGGCGGCCCCTTTTCTCTCCAAATTGCTGGCCGAATTGTCTCCTATATCTAACTTGAGCCGCCTTTTTATGTGGTGGCCTTCTCTTTTCTCTCCTGCCGTCCCAATTGAAGTGATCCTTCGTCCTTCTCCAATTGCTTCAAACGAGTCCAACACTAAAAACAAGATATAAGTTAACTCAAGTGAAGTAGAAATTAATAAATTGACGACATAAAAATTAAATAATACGACTTAAATAAGTGCACAAATTGTACTTATCTTATGAAACAACAAGAAACACGAGCTCGATGAACGTATTTCCAAAATATGCACACGAGGACACAAGGAGAGGAAAGTAAATACATAATACGCAGACAATCGAGTATAAAATGATGTATGTTCAATTGTTCGAAGTCCAATTGGGAAACCCTGAGCCGAACACGTGATTGAACCACACACATTCTTCATGCACACCAAAGAACAAGATAATAGAAAAGATTTAGGATGAAAAAGGAACAATAAGTTCTCTCAAATTTATAAAACACATGTACAATGAAATGCTCAAGAACACACTAAAAATAACGTCATTTCAATTGTAGAAAAGCAATAAGAAGGTTGCATGTTGATGATGCAATTCAAACACACAAATCACGATCAAACACATCAACAACTATGCGTTATCAAAAGCCAGACACACAGACGACACGATAACATTTCAACGGCCAAGGGCCAATTGAAAGGCGTAAAGTATGCCTGCTAACACCACACATCTATTCCACCCAGTTCTCATTGGGATGACGCCGTTTCATAAGTGATGAAAAATTAATTAAACCGGATAAAACTACCCAGGAAACAACCTCTAAATGTAATAATTAATCTGAGGATAAGCTGTCGTAGATGCATGAATGAAAGTCTCTTTTCAGTATTTCTACACATTCACAGCCTTCAATTCTTATTTAATTTATGTAATAATTATTCTACATTCAAAAGATTACATTTGTAGAGTCAACTTTCTACCTCTCAGAGCCACAAACACTTGTGTGATATCAAAGCCCTTGCGCTTCTTTCAGGTTCGGGCAATTGAGTAAATTGTAAAAGTTTTTTTTTCTAAATTCTGATTAATTATCTTGCAAAGGTGCATTTATGATGTAATTTGAAATTCTTAATTTGTTTGCAAAAATACTGTTAAAATATAGATATTAAAAAGGATTTGCAAGTTATGGACTGAAGAAAACGAAAACATTAAGACAAACATGTAGAGCAATGTCTACTCAATCAAATTCTTATGAGAGTAATTTTTTATTTCTCTGTAGCATTTTAATTTGCAACTAATCACACATATGCACTAGTGTTTATGAACCCTTTGAGCAAATGTGCAAGAATTTATATGTTTGTCTAACCTTAGAAAGTTTACTTAGCAGTTTTATTAATAGTAAATAAGTTTTAACATATCGGTCAAAGTTGGAAATCATTAAAAGCATTTCTGGAAAGTGTCTATAAACAGATTTTTTGTAAATAGATAGAAATGAGTGTGGATAAATGATAGTACTTGTAGGTAGAGATAAAAAGCGACTTGATAGGCTAAGTTTTTCTAGAGTGGGGTAACTTTTTTTAATGAAGAATAAGTTTTTCAAATATGTTTGGAAGTAACGCAAAATATTCTTACCAGCATGAAGTATAGTTTTACTATTCATGAATTATTAGTTTTAGCTGCAAGGAAAGAGAAGAAACAACGTAATATGATCACATAGGGATCCAAGAGTATGGTAGGGAAAGGAGTAGTGATGGCAACGGAGCGGGTTTGGGGTGGAGCGTCCCCATCGCGGGGCGGGGACGGGGCAACTTTTTGCCTGTTTAATTTTTTTTATTTTTTATTTTTTTACATTTTGAAAGTTTCGAATTATGTTATTATTAGATAATAAAATACAAATTCAAAATGAGTTTTTAATGGATGAATTGTCTAGAAATAAAATTTTTTTTATTTTTTTCTTCACGGGGTGGGTTCGGGGCTGGGCAAGCCCGGCAACGGGGGCCCCCGCCCCACCCCGACCGGCCAACCCGTTCGGGGCGGGGCAGACAGGGTAAATTACCATCCCTAAAAAGGAAAAGGTGGTATTCAGGGTATGTGTTTGTTTGTGATGGTGCTGGTAGATAACGAAAAATTAAAGATTGTTTAGTTTCATTTTTTGGTCATATTCTCTTTCCTAAAGTATGCCTCAGAAAATGGATATGCAATTTGTTTACCCATTCTTGAAAATGCCTATAAAATAAAACGTGTAACAGTGCCACAAAAAGAATACTTGAAGTATCTATTGTTTTTTTTATGTTCATGATCAAATATTTTGTAACAAAATCCCCAAAAGATTGGAAAATAGAACATTTATGATTCAACTTTAGTTATTTATTCTATGAATTCCAATGTATGGATCTGCATCATTTAATCATCAGAAGGCCTCGCAAAAAATAATAATAATAAATAAATAAATAAATTAGCGGTTAATAGTTCTTACTCTGACAAACTCGCAAAGTGGCCTAAGATGAGAGATCAACTGGTGGTAATTTCTTATCGCCTTCCAATTTGTTGTATATAATTTGGATTTTTAGTCTGCAGTTGTCTGATCGTACCATCAGATAATGAGGCGAGTTCCAATATTGTATCTAATTTACTTTTATTTTTCTTGTATATCTAGTCTAAATTAACTTGGACTGATAAAATTTATTTTCCTAATTCTCTCTTGTACAAACTTTTGAGCTTACAATTTCTTTTTCTACCCTGTGAAGTCAAGTAATTATAATCTTATTCTCAATTTAACAAAGCCCAGTTCAAACTTATAGTGGTGTCTTCTACAGTTATATGTATTTTATTTTTCCACTTGAGCTAAGTGTCATCTGCAAATTCAAGTAATGAAGGTTAAATCATGTAATTAGTTCGCGCCATGCGATTTTAGGTTGACCTTTTCCTTCAAGATTATTCTTTATATTTGTGTACTTGTCAAGTCATTTTTGTGAACTTGTGCATTGGAACTTACACTGAATATACCCAAACCATTTCAATTGGTTCCTATAACAATTTATCTTCAGTTAGCACCACTTTAATTGAACACTTTTGTATTACTTTGCTAATATACCTCTCCTTATTTTACCAACAATTCATCTCAATACTCTAATCCCAAACAAAATTAACTTACATAATGTCATTCAATATTTCATAATACTTAACCTGCCCAACTAGGGTTGGCAACGAGGCAGAGGGCGGGTTCGATCGGGCATCCCCCCCCCCCCCCCCCCCACCACATTGATACCTCTCCTTATTTTACCAACAATCCATCTCAATACTCTAATCCCAAACAAAATTAACTTACATAATGTCATTCAATATTTCATAATACTTAACCTGCCCAACAAGGGTTGGCAACGACGCAGAGGGCGGGTTCGATTGGGCTTTTTTCCCCCGTTAACCATTTAAGATGGGCGGGGCACTTTCCCCATTTACGCACCCGTTTAATTTTTTTTTATAATTTTTTATAATTCATTTTATTGCCACCATTTATTCAAGTGAAACAATAAAATAGTTATTAAATTTTTTAATTTATTTATTTATTTTTATAAGTTAAATTATTCGAATAAATTTGGTAAACTGAGATTTTTATTATTTATCATATTTCTTCGATAAATCTTAGTTGTCATCTTCTATTAGAATAAATGAAATTTCGTGAATTTTTGTCATTTAAAATATTGAATTCTTTAAAAAAAATTAAATGGGGGCGGGGTGCCCGTTACCCGTACCCGCTTTGGGGCGGAATTTCTCGCCTCATAACCTATCCGGTTACCCGATTAAGCTAATAATCCCTGCCCTGTTCGGGGCGAGTTCCACGAGTATCGGGTTTGATGAATATTTTTGTCATTCTTACGCCCAACCTTAATTATTTAAGTGACATTACCCTCCCAGTGATTAATCAATTTAATGCACCCCAGCAACATTTATATTTTGGTATTTTATGA